CAGCCTATCTCAGGTGTGCTTTTCAACTTTTATATGTGTTTGCAGGTTGTTTTCCCAACTGGTATTTATTGTGAAGTGTCATGTCTAGATTAAAGTCAACTTCTACAGGCAGTACCTCAGCTTAACATATACATAAAAGCTGCTTTTATTTATTAAGCCTTATGCAATTAATTTCACCCTTAAATGTCATTCAGTGGTTTCCATTCATGCATTTTTAAGTATTTCAACTCAGGGGCCAAAAAAGTAAGCAATGGGCTTGAACATATGGGGAAAACTGACCCTTGCTGCCAAGGAGTTAAAGTATTAAAGTGCATAAGCCATTTCCTGTAACAGTTGTCAAGCTAATTTTCAGTAAATTACTTAGTCCATGTGTTTATTATTCAGATATAAACCCACTGACTCGGCATGAAAATGGCATTACACTGCTGTAATCACAGACTAATCTTTTATAACTACAGTCATTACACCCCTAAACTGTAGCCCTCCAACAAGACTTCTCCTAGTTCAGAAACAGCAGCTTTTGGGCAAGTTAATTCACACTGCATTGCACCATCCAGCAATGAAGGTAACATTAATGGGCACTGTTGATGCACACCCCCATGCAACTCCATAAAAAATCAGAATATTCTTTAGTAAATAACGACTTAATGGGAAAGAATTCACTTAAAACATAGAATAAAATTCAATACAAAAGAAAATCACTATCATCTTTGTTGCAAATGTTTTCCATATCAAAAGATAACACACTTCTGGAGTTCTTGAAGACAAACTCCTCTTTTCTCCACCCAGTGCATGACAGCAGGTCTGCTACTTAGTAAAGTATTGGCATAAAGGGCCTAGTAGCCCCTATAGATAAATAGTTTTATCTATCTGATAATTTCTAGCTTCTGTTTAGATTTTAAGTGATTTTAGAAGATAAAGGTGTTAAAAAGTGAAAATAATTTAGTAACCTCTAACCTTTAGTCAACACTTACTAGGAAATTTTAAATTCAAGCTGGCTCTCCGTTAACCTCATGTTTCCTATTGTGATTAAGTTGTAGATGGATCCCTTTTATCATGGTATTGCACACAGTGCTCTTGAGGGAGCCTGGGCTAAATATACACTGATCACATTGATCTAAGATACCACTTCACCATCTCTGGTTTCTACCAGCAAGACAGCACATTCTTGACTAGTTTTATAACACAGGTGCCCTACGCTGCTATTTCTGGTTTTGTTGAGGAAAGCAAAGAGAGTGGTGGAGAAAGTACAAGACATAACTCTGATTTGGTGTTGTTGGTTTTTATAATGAAAAAATATAACATTATTATTGATTAGGTGAAGAGTACATCATGCAGGTTTCACTTTTTATTATTTTATAGAAACCACGTTCAACTGATGTTACAATTGAAGAAGAAACAGCAAATCAACTCATAGGATCCATGAGTGTATGTTTGCTGTCAACAGAAAGACTCCCAGGGACTTCAATTAGTATTAGATTGCAGTCTTCATATTTACATTTAAAAGTATTCCCCTCTGTGTCCTTATACAAATTGTTAGCCTAGTCAAATTCAATAAAAGCTAAGTGTAAGATGAAAAAGTATGCATTAAGTATCTGACAGACAGTGGTTAAACAAAGGCAATTTTGAGAGCTGTCACTCTGGCACTTTTCTCTGGCTGTTCATCAGAGGGACAGTCCCTCTCAGTGCCTGGTCATTTTGTATTTGATCACTTGGTGTGTCAAAAAACAAGAAATCTACTCTGCTTTCAAATGACTGTATAAGACAGACCGATACAAAAAATAAAGTATCTTTCAGTATAGAGTAATTTTGTAAAAGAAACCCCAAAACCCCAAAAAATCCCCTGTTACTGACATCTAAACATTATATATTCACCTGTTTCCCACTATTTTCCTGAATTTTCTAATTCACAAGGGCAAGTTAGGAAAAAGCAGTAACTCACGATGAAATGTTTTATCTGGATAAAACACCTTGTTCCAGTAAGTAGTATTTTCCTCTCTCTTTAGAATGCATAGCCTTTATTCCACAAATTAATCAAATAGCTGCTGTTTTCCAGTAATTCAGACTCGTCATAAAAGTATATTTAATTACTGTATAATCAGTGGTATAAGACGAATGGATTCTACTCAGTTGCCTTTCCATGAAATTAAGACTCTTCTGACGCTTTAAAATGCCTACGTGGACTCGGAAAAAGCTATGTAACTGGTCTAAGGCAGAAAAAGCTAGACAAATACATGAGTAGTGGCACAACTATCTTGATCCACGTCTTTTGTGAAATGTAGGAAACAAATATTAACCCCAGACTACATGCAAAGCCAAGCAGATCCCTAGTTTAAACAAATGTTCCTGCAGACTTCTTTTATGCTTAGAAGTTCTTGCCTTAAAATACAAAAAAAGAAAAAATATAAATTAGGCAATCTTTCAACATTTCATACATCCATTCATTTATATGATTTAGAATATCAGTATTGTACAATAGCCCATATCCCCAAAAAAGATCTCAAACAGATTAATGAGTGTTAGAAACTGAGACAATTTGTATTATGGTCAAAAGAGAGACTCAGTACAAAAAATATCTTTATAATACTTAACTCCATGCAAGATAAATTTATTTTGACCTCTTTGCAGCTGTACTTCTTGTTTTTTAAAAGGAAAAAAAGTACGCAATACATAACAATAAGTATTTTCATTTTTTTAAAAAAAGTTAACAAGACTTGAGCAACTAGAACATGTGTGTGTGCAACATGCTGATTAATAAAAATGGTTATTAGCTGACAAGGTTTTGACTGATGTTCAAAACCCGCCTGGACACTTTTCTGTGCAACCTGTTGTAGGCAACCTGCTTTGGCAAGGGAGTTGGACTAGATGATCTCCTGAGGTCCTTCTAACCCCTACAGTTCTGTGATTCTGTGATGATTCTGTGATTTTGGTGATGACAAGTTCAAACCTGAATGACTTAACTCCCTAGTTCTGAACTCTGAGACACAAAATACTCTTCAAAGGAATATAACAAAGAACAAGAAAACCTTTCAGACCCCTCACCAGAAGACTGAGAGCTCCAGGAGAGCTCAGAGACATGAAGTTATGAAAACACGCTGCAGATGTGTTTATCGTTTCAAACTACTGCAAGGTACCTTCCTGCTCTGGAAAGTGACTTAATTAAAAAATCAAAAATGAGAAATGGCGTATGCTTTGCCATTAAGGGTTCACAGGCAGCAGCAGGCAGCAGCTTCACTTCACAGGGAACACAAACAAACCGTGGGACTTGGAGGGGAGCACTGTCTGCCAAACAGCTCAGTGTGCACCACACAACATCATGCACACCATACCTGCTCTTCCCACTTGAAATCAAGGGAGCAAAGCTGTGAAACTGTCTCCTGTGTTTTTAATGAAATGGTTTTAGATACATACTGGGGAGCAATAAAGAGCTTTCTTTAAATTGTCCTACATACAGGGACTGCTACTCTTCCTGGTTTTATCTGAGCTACAGGAGATGAAGTAGAAGTCTTCTTTTAGTGTCCCTCCCATATCAAGGGCAGGAATAAGTTCTTAATGACTGCTACCTTGTTCAGTTCAGGTAATTTCTGCCTGCATTTGCATTCTCTAAAACTTCACTGATACTCATGCAAATGCAAAAAATGAATGTGAGAGCCTTTTGCAATATTAGGCTTACTACAAGCTAATGTGAACTCAACAAGCATTTTGAAAACTATTCTGAAATTAAAACTTGAGACTTCCCTGGCTAGAGTTCTTTTAACTTGTCAGCTTTCAAACCTTTGGATCTGAAAGCCAACTGGGTTCGTCCTCACTCAGGCATAGGAAGCAGTCAAAAAACACTTTATTTCAAATTTTGTAATTTGCACAAGTGGAACAGGGAGAAGAAATTGGTCTTTGATCTAAATTTAATCAAACACTTTTCTCATTGATATGTGAGCTGCTTCTTTCCTAACAGTTCATTCACTGGCTAAGGAGTGATTGTTTTTCCCAGTCATTATGAACTTTCACAGCACTGTTAACAAGGCTCAATATGGGAAAACATCCATTCCAGTAACCAAAGCTAATAGATACGAGTGCAAATGTACATTGGCATCAGATTTGTTAAGGTAGGAAGCATTTTATCAGTTTTAAAGTAAAATCACTTTCAGAGCTTTAAATTGACATAGAAGTGCAAGTTTTGGTGGAATTATAGGGCTCTCCAGAAATGTTAAATATTTGCAATGAAAACTTCTCTCCCAACTCCTTTCATTCAAAGCCACAAGACATTCTGTGCTCAATTCCATAGGGATTTACAGGACTACAGCAATGAAAACTTGTTGTGAATAGTAATGGTTGCAAAAGAAGCCTCCGAGGCATAGCCTTTGTTGTGCTGGAATGGTGGTAGTGACTCTACACAACTCAGTCCAAATTTTGGAAGAAAAGGAGGGAGTCATGGAAGTGACAATCAGAATTTGGTTTTATATTTTGCAGGGATTCTGAGAAACTGGTTCTTATCGTTCAGTCAATATTCACAGGATAAAAGCTGCTGTGTACATACCTTGAGTCCTATCTCTCTACTTTGCAGAAGAAGGTTTTACTTTCTTCACGCTGAACACAAGCATAGGCCTTTTTTCAGACATTGGTATAAAGAAAACAACTGCTAAGCACAGAAGTGTTAAAGATGTCTTCATGGCTTAAAAATTTCAGAAACAAGTCATCTACATTGCTTTTAGTGTGGAACCTGGAATCCTATTTGCTAAGTGGAATTAGTAAGGTCTTCAGAAGCAACCTCTGACAGCTAAACATTATTGTCATGTGAAAAAAGGATTTTCAAGATCTGGATTCTTATTACCTACACTGCTCTCCCAGTCCTCCTCATGGATCAACTGATCTCAATGACACTATCACACTGGAAAACTGAAGTTATTGAAAAGATAATCTGAAACCAGAGATAAAACCCCCAAACCTATAATTTGTCAAAACCATAATTGATTAATTAATCAGAGGTCTTAAAAAAAACTTACCTTTAAAATTTGGTCTGATTCTAGCATCATACCCCGATGTCCTTCCCATCAATTTGTCCAAAAAATCTGAAGGAGACAGGGTCTGTGAGGGGGATTTTCCAGATCTTGAATCATGTTCTTTACAGAAAGTCGTCCTAAATAAATTATTAGCCACCATTAGCTAATATTTAGCCTTTATAGTATTCAAGACATGAAGAAATTATAGCACTAAATAAAATTGTCTCAATTCAGTGAATGTAGCAATTAGTAATTTTATAGGAGAATATAGTCTATTTTTCATCTGAAAATTTTATTCTAGAAATAAAAATTAGCTTAAGGTACTATGCATGGACATAATTTGCTATTCAGAAAAAAACTTTAAAGCTTTAAAAATAAATTTTAAGAACTCAGAAGACTGAATTTACTCTTCATCTTAATGTGTAGAGCAGTCTTACAGGGGCTTTGATATCCTATTTCATATCATTTCTTTAATTACATGTATGCTCTTAAAACTGTATGTTAATACTGGTTTAAGGCGGTCTAAAACTTGCAAGCAGTAGCTGGCAATACTCACCAAACAACACTGAAAAATATTGGGTTTGTTAGTGTTGGGAAGGATATAGATGCAAAAAAATGTTCTTTACAGATGATACCCAATAAAGATTTAAATCATGCTAGTGAATATCTGGATTCTTCCCCAACATGGCAAAAAAGGTTCCAGTCTCATCTGAGCTTAGGGGTTTTTTACCAATGAGCATAGAGCAATAAAATTTGTCAGTATTATCACCAGCTGGTATTTATATGCAAGCTCTTGGAACACATCTCTGTTTTCAGGATTTAAGAGCAAACTTCTGGTACCACATCAGGCATGAGAAACACTGTGTACATAGTGTATTACATATTGTAAGCACATTAAATATTGCAGAGAAAGAGAATTTGGGAATTCCGCATGGTTGTTCCCTAGGGAAAAAGAATCTAAAATGAAATGGTCATATTTGGTGTTTAACAGCACAGATTTAATCATAAAGCATTATCTTAATTATTAAATAAACAATTTTATTGTATCTAGGTTTCAACATAATCTTTGAGCTATCTTAAAAGTAATTCTATGACTGTGTCTTTTTAACCATTCTCTGTTTAAATATTTACCCAAAGGGAAGTACTCAGTTTCAGGAGTGTTTCGTGCGGGGTTTTGTGCATCTATACACAAGTATTAACAAACTAGATATATGTGTGAGCATCTGAAATGAGAAGCAAATATCAAATATTTATCCCTTTACAAAAGCACCAGAATTGTTAAAAGGCAAGGTGATAGTAAATTCTCATGGTGTGATTCCCTGCATTTTTTCAGATTTCATTTACATAGGGGGGTTGTTTCTTTTTGCTTTTGTTAATGACATGGTACCACTACAAAATATCTTTAATTTTTAATACATAATAGATTATGTTCCCCACTTAAATGCTAAAAAAATTCAGATAAGATAATAAAAAACAGAAAATTAATTCAGTGCGCTTATTTGGGATGTTCCTGTAGTAATTACTTCTATTTTCACCCAGAGCCCACTAGTTATGAGTTGCATTGTGATCCCAGACTCGTGAATATAAACACTATTTCACTCTGTTACTGTATATATACCTCATTACTCATAGAAAAACACTTTATATGTGTACATGTGAATACACAGCAGCGTACAGTATAATAATGAATCTCAGCTAGAATGATGTTTTGGTTAATAAGACTGACCTGTTTGCTTCGTACTACAAGAAGCCAATTGCTGAAGCAAAAGCTCATAAAATATATTAAAAAAAAAAATAGAAACAACAATTATATGTACTGGTATATTAAGTGAGTACAATACTGGTCTGATCCAGCGTTTTCCTAAAATCAGAGGACTGGTTCTCCAATTGTAAATTACATCCCTGATAAAACTGGTTCAGTCATTTCCAAAGCTTGAAGAGGAGGGAACCAAAGCAACTTCCTAAACAACCTCCAGTGGGAGCAGAGAATTTGCATTTTGGAAGAAAAACTGAAGAAAATGTTTTTAGCTGTATTGATACTCAGTGAATAAAAACCATATCTTTGAATCAGAGAAATGGAAAATAGATCACTCAAACTTGAGATTATTATTTTTTGTGTTTGTTACCAAGCAACGAGTCTCCGAGTGTAGAAGGGATAGCCTATATAGAATGAACATTAAATACTCTCAAATCTAGCAAACAAACTAGGTTAATGTGACACAGTATCGTTATAGTTATGATTTCCACAACCTTTTGACAAATATCATCACATAGAGTTGTATCACCTACCTGAAGTGGTTTGTCTCTAAGAAAAATGCAAACAAGGTTGTCAAAATTTTCACTAGCTGACGGTTCATTCCTCCTGCTTTCTGTGATGATTTGGAAAATATCCCAGAAACGATTCCAGAGAGATGCAGGGAAAAAGTAAGCTGGTGCTGCCTAGATTCCCAAATTCAGCAATAATTTAATTCTCTTGGCAATCGAGAAGAGAAGGTCTGGATCTCTACAAACTGGGGGTAAAAAAGAAGTGCCAGTCCTTGGAATCATGGTCAGGTCAAGCCTAGGCTCATCTCCAGCAGCCAGCACAAAAGAGACAAAGCATCAGACCCAGTCGTTTGCCCGCCTCGCTTTTGGTGACGGAGGGAAAACAAGAAAAAAGAAAAGAAAAGGAAAGAAAAGAAAAAAAAAAAAAAAGGAAAGGAAAAGAAAAGAAGAGGAAACCCAACTACGCAAGGAGCATCACGCAAAAGGGAACAGCGCTGAGAGCAGTCTGTTGCCGGTATGTTTTATTCCCCTTTCGCTTTGAAAATTGGAATTTATGAACGGTGGTGGGGCTACTGGGTCGGTCTGCTGCTCCCCTCTTTGGGCAGGGAGGCGACGGCGCCGCCGGGGAGGGAGGGACGGACGGAGGGACGGAGGAGGGAGGTGGGGGGG